ACTAAATGTCTCCACGTAAAATTATAAATATAGGTCCACTTTTTCTGGTAGCCCCCATATAACGGTACATCCTAATTTTCAGTATTTTGGGGGTTTTTGTCGTATTTTTCCACCAAATTGACTGTAATTTAGTACTTTGAGTTCTTAATAAGTTCCAAATCAATCCACAAAAAATTATGAATATAGGTCCATTTTTTCTGGTAGCCCCCCATATAAGGGTACCCCCAATTTTCGGTATTTTGGGGTTCTTTTTCAAGCGAATTCGCTGAAATTTGGTATATTGGGTTCTTATTGGGTACCAATTATATCCACTAAAAATTATAAATATAAGACCATTTTTTTGGTAGCCCCAATAAAATTTCGGTATTTTGGGGTTCTTGAGCGCGTTTTTCAAAAAAAGCACGAATTCGCTGAAATTTGGTATATTGGGTTCGGGATATACTTTGGGTACAATATCAAATATCTCCACTCAAAAAATATAAATATAAGTCAATTTTTTTCCTAGGAGTAGGCAATTTGGCAAAATTTTGGAGCATTATCTTAAATACTGCGATTTCTATCGTTTTTAACAACAGATATGCGAAATCACTGAAATTTGGTATTTCGTAGCCTTATGTATATGGAAACAAATCATTAGACCCCTGTAAAATAGTCAACCCCTAAATGTATACGGCATAGAATACATTTTTTTATTTTTCACACAAAAGTCTTGGTAAATTTCTCGCTCATGCTTATAACGTTTTCCCATTTTTTATATTAATATAATTATCTTTGTTTTTTCCGCACACACGTTTTGGGTTTGATCCGTATACTAAAATTTGAGTAGGACCAACATTTCGTGAAGTTACAAACTGGTGGAACACAAACATCATTTCACCACAAAGCTGTTGACTTATATTTCGTTAAGGATAATCGAAATATATAATTAAAACTATAACAAAATTTCTTTATATTCATTTTTAGCACTTTTTTGTGGCACTTTTCTAAAATTTTTAGGCATATTTTTCAAGAAAATCGATAATGCAACAACTATATATGAACTATAACCCGTATTTAGACCTAGCCCCTGTGTGGGAGGTACCAGAAGGAGTGGACCGATGTTCCCCATCTTCGAACTTGAACTAAGTTTGGAAGATGGCCAAAGTTTGGATGAAATCAACATTTTCTGAAACAAATTTGATCCAAAGAAACATGGGTCTAGAACCATTTTAACCGTGTCAAAGTGTATATGCCCTCATTATCCATAAAGCTGAGAGAATAATTGTCCATTAAAAATTTCTGAAATTTGTTTTATAGTTTACATTGTGGTTTATATAACCGGTTTGTGGAAATGTCGATAGAGGTCCACTTTTTGGTATTTTCCCTATATTTTCATTTCAAGTACCTGTCAGTATATCTATGGTGGAGGGTATCCAAAGTTCGGCCCAGCCGAACTTAACGCTTTTTCACTTGTTTCATTTAAAACGTGTTTCGGTTTTAAGAGAATAAAAAAACAAACAAAAAATGGCGCGGAAATTTGCAAATTTCATTGTTTTTTTCTTGTCCTCATATTTTTCAGCGAATTCGTTTCTTTTTATTGTTAATCGATTTTACTTAGATCAGCAACGGTGTTTTGCGTAGTTGTAGAGGAGCATCTAGAAATGTAACGAAAGTCTAAAAATCATCATCATTGTCAATGGGACAGTAACATCAAATGAGATTTTCAAAGAGAGTTGCTTGAACTTCTATGGATTATAGTTCCGGTCATAAAAACCAATATTTGTGGAATGCTTGTTGGGTCAGGAGATTAAAGAGATTGTGAATATTGTCCGGTTGCTACATGGTAACCTGGTCATAGACATACATGTCTGTCTAGGCTTAAATGTTCGTATATAGTTAGAAATGATGGCGAATACTGGTTTAGTTCCGCAGTCATTACCATTAGTGTTCAAACAGGTCAGACACATAAAATTTCGAGTAATTGAAAGAAGGATTGTTAAAAAAACCAACACTCTAAAAATTGACAACAGAGTTGCTTGGAAAAACTAGTTAGAGTTGCTTAAAAAAATTAAAAATATACGCCTTATAGATGCTTGGAAAAATAATTCTTTTAAAAATCTACGGTTTATAGATGCTTGGTAAAAATATTCTTTTAAAAATCTACGCCTTATAGAAGCTTAGATGCATGCATGGAAAATAGTCTTAAAAAATAAAATCCTTCTATGCTTTAGATAAGACAACTTTGGAATATTACCATGCTTTCGACTTATATAACGATTTATTTATGTCTTACTAATTTGTATTACATTCTCCTGTGAAAGAAAAATATTCCATCTAAATTTTATTACTTTGATCTCAATATCTATTACAACGAAAATATGACATTATTAGAATTCTTGTCCTCATCATCGTCATCAAGAAAACATATTTCTATTTGCTTTTCTTTTTTCGTTAACAAACAATAAATTTAAAGTTGTTCCTTTCGGAAGACTCTCGTAATTTTGCGACCTGATGTTGGAATACGCTTAGCAAGGAGGGGGTACATAAATGATGCCGCAGCTACTTGTGGAAAATGCAACTTTATTAATGGCAGCTGGCAGGCAGAAAAGCATAGAAAACTTTACTAAATATATATGGTGTGAGTACATGTTAGTACTTGTACTATGTCCTTCGTCCTTGTTCACTTGTTTGCCAGTGGTTTCATTCTGACATCAAATGATGTCATTATTAAAGTTTGTTTCTTTTAGGTTTTTTTTTCAGTACAACAAAGTAGAACTCTAAACTTTCTAAAATTAAATGAGACATATTTTTTTCCTTCTGCTCAGAAAAGATATGTAGCTAAGTTTAAGTGGTTAGCAAAAACCGAATTAAAATTTGGGCTTAAAATTAATGTTTATAATGATGATATGTTTCATTAAGTAACTTTGCAGGGAAGTGGATTTAGACATAAAACACATGGACCGATTTATAGGAGCTTGGAAAAATATTATTAAAAATATCCACGTCTTTTAGGTGCGTGGAAAAATATTATTTAAGGAAAGTAGTAATGCAACATTGACATGAAATTGAACGAACTTAAATATGAACATCAATCGCAACACATACCATTCTGCAACCTATTCTAAATTTTGTAAATAGATTAAGGAGTCAAACATTTGTTTGATTAGTTTCTTAAAGCAAAAGTCACACACGCTATTTGGTATGCGTCACTGTCTAAAATGTAATATCATTCAGGTACCCATTTTATAAACATGAATACGTCGAAATCATATATGAAAGCTAAGCTATTTCTAAATCTGAGCCCATTTCAAGACAACTTATATATAGGAACTTTAGTGCACTATTTACATAAAATTGGACCAAAATATATATGGGAGCTATATCTAAATCTGAACCGATTTTCACGAAACTTAGCACACATCATTCTAGACCTAATTCCGTACCCTATGCCAAATTTCGTGCAAATCGATAGATATATAGGGACATTTGTGCACCATTTACCTTTAATCGGACGAATATATATAAGCTATATCACAATCTGACCCGATTTTCTCGAAACTAAGCGTTCATTCTAGACTCAATTCAGTACACTAAGATAAATTTCGTGCAGATCGAAAGATATATATAGACTTTAGTGCACCATTTACATAAAATCGGACGAAAATATAAATGGGAGTCATTCTGGACGTAATTCAGTACCCTATGACAAATTTCTTGCTATTCGAAAGATATATAGGGACTTTGGTGCATCATTTACATAAAATCGGACGAAACTATATATGGGAGCTATATCTAAATCTGAACCGATTTCCACGAAAATCAGCACACATCATTCAAGACTTATTTGAGTGTGCTATGCTAAATTTTGTGCAAATCGAAATATATGTAGGGAATTCGGTACACCATTTACCTTAAATCGGACGAAAATATATATGAGAGTTATATCTAAATCTGAACCGATTTTTTTCCCAATTTCAATAGAGATCGTCTTTGGGTCAAATAAGTAAGCTGTGCCAAATTTCATCCAAATCGGATCATAAATGCGACCTGTACTTTGTTTACAATTTAACAACTAAAGACGGACAGACAGGCGGACTGACATGCACAAACCAAAAGGAATCATGTGTCTATCACGTTTCCTTTTGCCTGTTACAAACATATGCACAAAGACATAATATCCTGTGCCACAATAATGAAGGATATAAAAATAGAGTATGTGGACAATTTTCTTTTATAACATGTTTTTCCTTGAATGAATGGAAAGACCAACGGACGACGGAATGAATGTGTGGTATCATAATATAATATAATAATAGAAAACTGTATGATTATATAATGGCATAATAATGTAGTTGCACGTATGATACCAATTATAATTTTTAGTGACGTGGAGCAGAGGTGTCACTGCTTAGGATGAGATTATAATTTTTTTTTTTTTTCAACAAATAGGGAAACCCATTTTTCTAATAAATGTTTATGTGATTAGTGCATCTAAATTTTCAATTAGGAACAATTTTGTAGGAAATAGAACAATATTGAGTATTGTGAAAAAAACGAATCCCCAAATTTGCAACGCCTGTGATTCGTAGAACTTTGTCATAAACTTGCAGACAAAGTACTTAGACGAAAAGATTGCTATAAAAAAACAGTACTTTTTTACATTTGTGACATTGTTGTCAGATATTGTACACATTTTGTATATAGTCTAGACAAAATGTTTACAATATCCAGGACAAAGAAGTCAGAGAATCATAAAAATGTAGTACAAAAATAATCCACAAAAGTTATCGCATTATGTAGGATAATATGGTGTAAAGTGTCGACGTTTTGATTTTTGTTGTTTATAAAAAAATGCAGTCGCATCCTTTTTCATGCATTGAATTTTGTATGACAAACTTATTGACATGTGTAAAATATGTTCAACATTCAACTTCTTTCAGTAAAAATATGCGTGTGTATATTTTGTACTTACATTTTCTAGTTTGGCCACAATTTCATACATGGTCATATCATCACTTTACCATATTGAACAATGAAGTCAATATCATCATTTGCAGCAGCAGCCGCCTCATCAGCGATGTCAAATTCTATTGCATTGCCGTTGGATGCATCATTTGTTGCTTTGCCATTGATGTTTGAGGCATCTGCCGTTGTTGTAGCGACTTCTGTGGAATTGTTGTTACCCTCGACATCTGGCTGGGACCATGCCAACGAGATTGTTGTATTTGTTACTTTGGTTGCATGTAAATCGATGACTGGGCGGGTATACTATCGGTACCGGTTTGTTTGAATGTGTTGTGAAGATTAGATCGAATGTTAGCAATTCTCTTAATAGTATTTTGTTTTGAGATCGAGTGTAAAAATTTCACAAATTGGATGAATAAAATGTGTTCAGAATCGTCCGCAATTGACATTGAATTATGTGTCAGATGTAGTAAAAATATGCGTAATTTTATAAGTACAAAATTGTCCGAAATAAATATATACCCCCATATTTTTGGTAATAATTGAAGCAAATACTCATACGTTTTTAAGGTTTATTTTAAAATAGTAAAACCTTAAGGGAAAGCCAAAAATATATACGGAGCATGTAACAATTAAATCAGAAAGTGAGCCAATTTATATACTCAAACGTAACTATGAGTCTATCTCGTTTGCTTTTGGTTTGCAAATCGGAGTGCTTCGACAACTGGTTTGAGCTCATGAAAATGAAATATCTATAGTAGCCATCATATGATCTTTAAAGTACCTAAAATCGATCGTCATCAATAAAGGTTACCTACATTGATGTCTATCGAATAGCGGTTGGAACTATTATATTGTTTCTTATAACTAAATATTCAATATACTAATGGTTAGATCCTAAAATAGTTCGAAATTCGTGTGTTACTGCAATATAGAAGATATGTCAAGCCTTGAACCTTTTTGAAGAAACCTCGAATACCCTATATTGGCAAATGGTAAGACGGTTTTGAATTCGGCCGAGTAGAACTTTTTATACCCTCCACAACATATAACATTATTTTGTGGAGAAGTAATAGTCCTCACGATATTGAAAATTGGTGAACCGATATAAACAATTTATTATTAGGAAAAACCCAAAGAAAGCTCAAAATTCTGTATTAGAACCAATTTGGTTGAAAAGGGTAACTAAAATTCCCAAATTATACAAATTACATTAAACCTATCTGGGATAAGTTAAAACCAGTAAGGAAAGTAGTAAAGTCGGACTGGGCAGACTATATGATACCCTTCACCACTTTGGGTATATTTTACATATGTATCCGAAAATACGTCGCTGTACTGTTTAAAATTTAATCTCAATCAGACCCATTGAATATTTGGCGTACAATTAACATAAATAAGTCGAAATTATATATGGAAGCTAAGTCATATCTATATCTGAACCGATTTCAAGCAAACCTGCCAGAGATCCATACCATAGTCAATCGAAATATTGTGTACAATTTTCTTAAAACCATCACATCATTATAGACTTAATTTAGTACACTATGCCAATATTCTTGTTAATCAGACTTTGGTGCACAATTTACCTAAAATCGGGCGAAACTATATATGGAAGCTATATCTAAATATGAACCGATTTTCACGAAACTTAGCACACGTCATTCTAGATCTAATTCAGTAGGCAATACCAAATTTCGTGCAAATCGAAAGATATATAGGGACTTTGGTACACCATTTACCTTAAAACGTACGAACCTACATATGGGCGCTATATCAAAATCTGAACCGATTTTCACGAAACTTAGCACACATCATTCTAGGCCTAATTCAGTAGGCTATACCAAATTTCGTGCAAATCGAAAGATTTATAAGGACTTTTTTACACCATTTACCTAAAATCGGGCGATACTATATATAGGAGCAATATCTAAATCTGAACCGATTTTCACGAAACTTGGCACAAGTCATTCTAGACTTAATTCAATACGCTAATTCAGTAGGCTATACCAAATTTCGTGCAAATCGAAAGATATATAGGGACTTTGGTACCCCATTTACCTTAAATCGGACGAAAATATATTGGGAGCTATATCTAAATCTGAACCGATTTTCCCAATTTCAATAGGGTTCGTCCTTGGGCCTTGAGCTGTGCCAAATTTCAACCAAATCGGATCATAAATGCGACCTGTACTTTGTTTACAATTTAACATCAACAGACGGACGGACATGCGTAAATCGACTCAGAAAGTGATTCTATGAATATTATCAAAGTAACCATGTGTCTATCTCGTTTCGTTTTGCCTGTTACAAACGTATGCACAAAGACATAACTGACATAAAGACACACTGTAGTGAAGGGTATAAAAATATGCGACCGATTTATGCCTGTGAAAAATATCCCTACAAAAATTCGCATTTGCAATTTAATATTTTGAAATCTGACTGGGTAGAAAATGTCTCCACCGAACATTTTATACATTGACTCATATTTCCGGGTAGCACCCATATAATAGAAAATCCCCCATATTTAGTATTTTGGTGGTTTGAGCACGTTTTTTATCCGAATTGGTTTGAGCAATTATCCAAATTACTCACTAATGGCTAGGAAGTTCTGATTAAGGTTCCGATTATGGTCAAGGTCGACGCTTACAATTTTCAGCAGTTCTAATATTTAGGGAATACAATAAATGGGAGATAAATAAATGGACCAAGACCTTAAATTTTCTGTGTTTTTTTTTCAACACATCACATAGGGAAGGGAATCTGGTCAACTAATTAAATCACATTTTTGATCGGACAATACTCATCGGTCAAATCAACCTAGACCTCTCTTGTAAAATGAAAAAAATTCACATCTTGTGACTTAAATGTTCCCCCCGGGAAAAATATTCCGAAAATATGCCATAGTAAGAAACTGTAGCTTTGATCTCTAATCGGTCAAGAGGTCGCAAATATCGTGAAATATTACCCAGGCACAGAATATAGATCTGCTGAAAGTTTGTGTTTCTTGGCAGTTGTGTAGGGTATCATATGGTCGGCCCTATACGACTATACTGAACCTGGTTTTTAGATAACACCATCACGATTTAAGGACATCTGGATGTACCCCACTTGGTGCAGGGTATACAAATTTCGGCCCGACCGAATTTAACGAATTTTTTACTTTTTTCTAGTAGGAGGTCATCATTCGAAATGACAATTTCAATATCGCTTGAAAACTTAGATAAATACTCTAAAGTATTCTTCCTCATTTATATTTGTTATCAGGTCATTTAAATAATTCTCCGTCCACCTCTAAAATGTCCTTTAATTTACAATTGTGTACATTTAACATAGGTCATATTTGCTTACATATTTTTTTCACTTATAACCATTAAATATAACAACAGCATTTCGGTCTAATACCCCTAGTACTCCATTCCACATAAATAAATTTCTTCTTTACACCAATAACTGATTTACTATCCTAGTTTTTACTTTTGTCTACATTTAACCTCCCCTGTCCCTTCCTCGAAGTTGAATTGTTACCAATGCAAATTAATTAAATTTTCTTCTTTCTAAATGGAAAATTCAATTTGCACATTGTAGTTGCAGGTGTGGTGACTGACTGTGTTTGTGACTCTGTCCAATACTTACCCTCCTCCAGACATTGCTGGATATTACCCGCATAGGATAGACAATCTGTGGTGGCATTAGAATTGACTCTGCCCGTTGTTGCCAATGAAGAGGTGTGGGCTACAGGTAAAACGCCACGGCACAGTGACATACATGTTGAGGGTACACCACGGCGTACACAGCATGGTGTGTGATCACGACCTCCGGCGGAACATTTGGCTGCAAAAAAACATGAAAAAGAAGAAGTGAAATAAGACTATTAATTCAACAAACAGTGGTGTCTTGGACATTGAGAAAGTGGCAAGTGATGGTGGTAAATGTCGGACAATGTCGTTGTGGTCGCAGCACCACCCAAGCAGGATAAAACTTCGAGTTGTTGGGACATAAGTAACAGAAGAAAAGTAATTATTTTCAGTTTTTATGTTATCCTTTAGCCAACATGGCTGAACGAGCGCTCGGACTGCTAGGTTGGATGGTTGTTTGGATGGGTTGCCTGTTTGGCTATTAAATTTAAAGGCTACAACAACCAAACGATAATGGGGTGGTATATAGCTTATTTCGTATGCATATCATGTTGCATATAAATCTTATTTAATGTCTTTTATTTCTTTGCTGGCCCATTCCTAAGAACTAAGGCTCAAGCATTCATGTTGGCAATATTGTTGTTGTTTCTATGTTGCCGCTGGCCTTGTTATTTATTCTGTTGCTGTTGTCGCTCCATGGTGTTTTTGCAACAACAACTGCAACTACTTATCGAGCAATATAACACACCCAAGAAGTTGTATTAGGGGCGGTTCAGGGTGTAGAAAGGGTAGCTTGGAATTCTTGAATACATTCATACATACACATTTGTGCCAATGTGCACAACGGTACACATTGTGGCAATAGCCCCGATCCATGACAGCATTTAGACATATCATAGTTGGGCTCCTCGGCGTCCTCCACTTCTACGGGTTTGGTGCGTGTGATTAAACGTGGTGAAGGTTCAATTTTGCCATATGCATTTATGGATACCACATAGAATTCATAGTAGACTTCGGGTTCCAAGCCATCCAATATTAGTGGTGGATTTTTCTAAAAGGAGATGAAGAAGAGAATCAATACAGAATAAGCGAACATGCAACAGGATTAGATGTTAGTGTATGTGTATGGTGTTTCCGTCTGTTTTTTGCTGAGCTGAGGCTTTAGTCAAGATAAAATAAGTGCTCCAAAGTTTATAAAGAAACATGTTGCGGTTATAAATTCTATTTCTGTACGAACTTTCAAAAGATGCACAGCGGCATCAGTTAGCCTAGAAAGGGCAGCTAGTACTATAAGTAGTACGTTTTTAAATTGACGTTATAAATAATGTCAAAGGAAATGAGTAAAAATAATATATTCGTGAGGAAGAGCTGAATACAAAAATCTAGTTTCGTTGATATCAATAAATTTAAATGCACTGGAAATGTTGGCCCTTTACGGAACGAAGGAAGTCTATTTTTAATGAAACGAGAGGATAAAAATCAGGAATATCTTGGCAAAATTTGTAATGTGAACTTAAACTTTGTATACCCTACACATGGACATCAACATACCTAAAATTGATACACAACGGGATGGACCTAGGGTGGGCGATATATATTAAGTTCAATTATTATTCGCAATTTTTATAAAAGTCCACGCCTTAAAAAATATTCGTATTCTTATAAGACTCCACGTCTTAAAAATTATTCACATTCCTAAAAGATTCCACGCCTTAAAAATTATTCGTATTCTTATAATACTCCACGCCTTAAAAATTATTCATATTCTTATAAGACTCTACGCCTATCAAATTATTCATATTCTTATAAGACTCTACGCCTATCAAATTATTCATATTCTTATAAGACTCCACGCCGTAAAAATTATTCATATTCTTATAAGACTCCACGCCTTAAAAATTATTCATATTCTTATAAGACTCCACGCCTTAAAAATTATTCATATTCTTATAAGACTACACGCCTTAAAAATTATTCATATTCTTATAAGACTCCACGCCTTAAAAATATATTTTTATAAAAATCCACGCCTTGGAAAAAATATTCTTATAAAAATCCAGGTCTTGGAAAAAATATTTTTATGCGTGCAAAAAAATTTTTTTTTAAAAAAATATTTTTATAAAAATCCAAGCCTAGGAAAAATATTTTTATAAAAATCCAGTTCTTGGAAAAACATTTTTATAAAATTCCACGCTTTGAAAATATATTTTTATAAAACTCACGCATTGCAAATATTTTTATAAAAATATATGTCCTTTAAAATATATTTTTCTAAAAATCCGCGCCTTGGAAATATATAAAAAAAAAAAAATATTACAAGACTAGTAAATCTTAAAAAAAATTTATAAAAATCCGCGCCTTGTAAAATTTTTTTAATGGAAATACTAAAAGGCTTGGATATCTAAAAACAATATTTGTACAAACATCCACGCCTTGTAAATCCTCAATGTGCAATAAAAAACTTTGGAAATCCACAAATTAATGGTCTCTGAAAATTATTCTAATAAGTAGTTGAACCTTAATGGACCCTGATAAGAATTGAAGCCTTAAATGGGTCCCCACAACAATATTGTTTTATAAATCTTCGTGTTAATGGCCCCTTAAATGGGTCCTCCGCCTTAAATGGGCCCCTAAAAAAATATTCTTTTAAAAGCATTCGCTTAATGGCCCTTGATAAGTATTCCGTCTTAAATGGGTCCCTAAAAAATATTCTTTCAAAACTCCAAGTCTCAATGGTCCCTGAAAAAAATATTCTTTTAAAAATCCACGCTTGTGGCTGAACTGGTCCTTAAAAAAATATTATTTTAAAAAACCTTGAAAAAATATTCTTTTAAAACTCTTATAAACATTCACGCCTTAATTTTTTAATTCACGTCTTGAAAAAATATTTTTTATAAACAGTCACGTCTTGAAAAAAAAATTATAAAAATTCACACCTGAGAAAAATATTTTTTTAAAAATCCACTCCTGTAAAAAATATTTTTTTATACAAATCCACGCCATGTAAATCTTTTAATAAATATTTTTATAAAAATCTACGATTTTTATAGCTTTTAAAACATTTTTTTATAAATATCCACACCTTATAAATCTTTTAAAACTATTTTTATAAAAATCCACACCTAATAAATCTTTTAGCATCTACGATTCTAATTGATTTTGTATTCATAATATTGTCTTCTACCCTTAGAAATTTGCCCCTCAATGTAGACCTTTCCATCCGCAATCAACCCATTCCAACTTACCTTTACAACTGTGCTATAATCATCACCAACTCCCAAACGTCTAAATTTGACATGGAATGTTGTTATGGTATCGGCTAGTCTTTTTGGTTTATTCCAATCCAGAATGAGGAAAGTATACTTTTTGGCAACCGTACGTAATTTGGTGGGTGGATCAGCCAATACACCATAACCTTGAAATAGGCAACTGCTAAATTCCGACATAAAATGCAGACACCTAAAAGAAAATTACAATGAAAACGGAAAAGCAAACAATTAGAAATAAATTCCACCACAATTCCCTTCAATTAAATACTCACTTAAACAAATTGAAATCCAATGTCGAAACCTTGCCGAAATTTGGTTACATGAAAATTATTCTTATAGGAATCCACGCTTTAATGGTTATTTGGAAAATTTTCTTATAGGAATCCACTCCTTAATGGTTACTTGAAAAATTTTCTTATAGGAATCCATGCCTTGGAAAATAATTTTTTTTTAATCCACGCCTTGAAGAAGTATTTTTTAAAAATTCGCGCCTTGAGAAACTATTTTGTAAAAAATCCAGGCCTTGAAAAATTATTTTTATTTTTTTGTTTTAATTCTCGACCTGTTTTTTTTTAATAAACGCTTTGGATTTTTATACCAACGCCTTCCAAAAAATATTTAAATAAAAATCCAAGCCTTTGACTTTTTTTTAAATCCACGCTTTTGACAATTTGTATAGATAGGCCCATGGTTCCTTTTGAGAATATACATAGAATCACTTTCTAAGTCGATTTATGCATGTCCGTCCGTCTGTCCGTCTGTCTGACTGTCCATGTTAAATTGTAAACAAAGTACAGGTCGCATTTATGATCCGAATTGGATAAAATTTGGCATAGGTCACTTATTCGGCCCAAGGACGAACCCTATTGAAATTGGGAAAAATCGGTTCAGATTTAGATATAGCTCCCATATATATATTTAACCGATTTAAAGTAAACGGTCCCTACATATCTTTCGATTTGCACGAAATTTGGTACAGCCTAATCATTTAGGTCTAGAATGATGTCTGCCAAGTTTCGTAAAAATCGGTCCAGATTTAGATATAGCTCCCATATATAGTTTCGTCCGATTTCATGTAAATGGTGCCCCAAAGTCCCTATATATCTTTCGATTTGCACGAAATTTGGTACAGCCTAATCACTTGGGTCTAGAATGATGTCTGCCACGTTTCAAGAAAATCGGTCCAGATTTAGATATAGCTCCCATATATAGTTTCGTCCGATTTCATGTAAGTGGTGCCCCAAAGTCCCTATATATCTTTTGATTTGCACGAAATTTTTCATAACGTACTGAAGTAAGCCTAGAGTGATGTCTGCAAAGTTTCGAGAAAATCGGTCCAGATTTAGATATAGTTCCCATATATAGTTTCGTCCGATTTCATGTAAATGGTGCCCCAAAGTCCCTATATATCTTTCGATTTGCACGAAATTTGGCATAACGTACTAAATTAAGCCTAGAATGATGTCTGCCAACTTTCGAGAAAATCGGTCCAGATTTAAGTATAGCTCCCATATATAGTTTCGTCCGATTTCATGTAAATGGTGCACCAAAGTCCCTATATATCTTTCGATTTGCACGAAATTTGGTACAGCCTAGTCACTTAGGTCTAGAATGATGTCTGCCAAGTTTCGAGAAAATCGTTCCAGATTTAGATATAGCTCCCATATATATTTTCGTCCGATTTCATGTAAATGGTGCCCCAAAGTCCCTATATATCTTTCGATTTGCACGAAATTTGGTAAAGCCTAATCACTTAGGTCTAGAATGATGTCTCCCAAGTTTCGAGAAAATCGGTCCAGATTTAGATATAGCTCCCATATATAGTTTCGTCCGATTTCATGTAAATGGTGCCCCAAAATCCCTATATATCTTTTGATTTGCACGAAATTTGGCATAACGTACTGAATTAAGCCTAGAGTGATGTCTGCCAAGTTTCGAGAAAATCGGTCCAGATTTAGATATAGTTCCCATATATAGTTTCGTCCGATTTCATGTAAATGGTGCCCCAAAGTCCCTATATATCTTTCGATTTGCACGAAATTTGGCATAACGTACTGAATTAAGCCTAGAGTGATGTCTGCCAAGTTTCGGGAAAATCCGTCCAGATTTAGATATAGCTCCCATATATAGTTTCGTCCGATTTCATGTAAATGGTGCCCCAAAGTCCCTATATATCTTTTGATTTGCACGAAATTTGGCATAACGTACTGAATTAAGCCTAGAGTGATGTCTGCCAAGTTTCGAGAAAATCGGTCCAGATTTAGATATAGTTCCCATATATAGTTTCGTCCGATTTCATGTAAATGGTGCCCCAAAGTCTCTATATATCTTTTGATTTGCACGAAATTTGGCATAACGTACTGAATTAAGCCTAGAGTGATGTCTGCCAAGCTTCGAGAAAATCGGTCCAGATTTAGATATAGTTCCCATATATAGTTTCGTCCGATTTCATGTAAATGGTGCCCCAAAGTCCCTATATATCTTTCGATTTGCACGAAATTTGGCATAACGTACTGAATTAAGCCTAGAGTGATGTCTGCCAAGTTTCGGGAAAATCCGTCCAGATTTAGATATAGCTCCCATATATAGTTTCGTCCGATTTCATGTAAATGGTGCCCCAAAGTCCCTATATATCTTTCGATTTGCACAAAATTGGCATAACGTACTGAATTGAGCCTAGAATGATGTCTGCCAAGTTTCGTGAAAATCGGTCCAGATTTAGATAGATATAGCCCTTTTTATTATAGATTGATTTTAAGTAATTGACGCACCATATTAAACTCCTCATGTTAGTCAGATTGACATCAAAGTTTGCACATCGTACAAAATTGAGCATAAAATTATATAGTTGCGTTTTCTAGAAGCACAGACATAGCCCAACGGATGACCTATTTATATTTGTTTGAAGTCTATTTACATACTTTATGGATAGATCTAGGTAGATTCACATTTAGATAAATATCACATATTTTATTTCATCCTATTTCATGCTAAAAGTCCTGTTTAATATACCCATAGTGGTGAAGGGTATCATATAGTCGGCCCCGTCCGACTTTACTACTTTTTTTACTGGTTTTTTATAAAAATACCCATCTTTGACAATTTTTTATTTTTTTTATTTTTGACGAATACCCATATTTGACGATTTAAGGTAAATGGTGCACCGAAGTGGCTACATATCATTCGATATAGCTCCAATATATATTCGTCCGATTTTATGTAAATGGTGCACGAAAGTCCCTATATATATATATCCTTCGATTTGCACGAAATTTCGCATAGCGTACTAAATAAATTGTGTAGAAAGACGTGTGTTGAATTTCGTGAAAATCGTTTCAGATTTAGATATAGCTCCCATATATATATTCGTCCGATTTTAGGTAAATAGAGCACCAAAATCTCTTTATATCTTTTGATTCGCACGAAATTTAGCATGTCGTACTGAATTAAGTGTAGAAAGACGTGCTCATATATATATATATATATATATATATATATATATATATATATATATATTCGTCCGATTTTAGGTAAAGAGAGCACCAAAATCCTTTTACATCCTTCGATTTGCACGAAATTCGGCATAGCGTATTGCATAATGTCTAGAGTGATGTGTGTTAAGTTTCGTGAAGATTTTCGTCCGATTTTATATAAAGCGTGCACCAAAGTTCTTATATATCCTTCTTATATATCTTAGAATTATGTGTGTTAAGTTTCGGAAAAATCGTTTCACAAAAATCGTTGGTGCACCAAACTCCTAATGTTTGTCCGATTACTACGAAATTTTGCACAACGTATAAAATTGGGACTTGAATGACGTTATTGATTTTCGCTGAAATTAGTGCAGTTGCAGCCATAGCTTCTATATGCCTTTCGAACGGGTGTCTGATTGAAGTTAAATTGTTAACAGTGCGGCGTACTGCATAGCGTGTATAAATGGTTTTCCATAAATTTGTCCCATGGTACACAGACGACTTTAAATCTGCCCGAATGAAATTAAATTTACCACAGGTTGCAGAAAGACGGGAGTACGTTTCTTCGAAGGAAGTGTAAGGATAGATGTGTACAATATACCTACAGTGGAAGGGTATCATATAGTCGGCCCAGTTCGACTTTACTACTTTCCTTACTGTTTTTTTTTTATAAAAATCCCCGCCTTTGACAATTTTTTTATAAAAATCAAGCCTTTGAAATTTTTTTCTATAAAAAAATCTAAAACTATATATTTTTTAACAAATCGAAACTTACCATATAATATATGTATACTACCGTAATACTGGATCTGAATTTAATTCACAGATATAGCTTCCCTTATCGGATGGTTTTAGGCGTTTAATGAGTAGGACCCACACCTCACCACCGGATTCCACTTTGCTACTGGGTTCTGGAAATTACAAAAAAAAAAAAAAAAAAATCAACATTATTCGTTTAACTAAAACTTCACATTTCAACATGGCGACAACTCACCTTCATCGTGTAATACACTAACACGCGGATCACTTGTCACCCGGACGCTGCCCGCGGTTAGAATTTCATCACCTTTCTTCCATATCACAGTATTATTAAGACGATTCGCTGAGACGACACAGGTTAGCAGGGCGTCTTTGCCTGCCACAATATAGGCAGGGCCGCCAGTTGCTGTAATAAGGAATAACAAAAAAACAAAACAACAATGAATCATTGTTGAGCAAATGCTCGGAGCTTATATAGGCTTTTGTGTGTGTGTTTTCAATGTAATTCATTTATTCACTTACCAATGGGTTCTACGGATTTAACGGTTGACAGCAAACATGTTGATGTTGTCAATACACAGGCTACTATACGGATAGCATTATTAGCATAAGTGCGGAGAGTGTGTAAGAGAATGAAAAAGAAAGAAGGAGAAAAAAACAAAACAAAAAAATTATTATTATTTTATTAATAAGGCCATAAATGTAATTATACAATAAATGAAAGTACAACAAAACCAGATGCCAATGTTCGTTCATTTATTCGCGCAGACAACATAGAGTCAAACATCTGTATGACGGGTTTTCCATATTGAATACGTATCTCATATAAATTGTTTTCAAAATAATCTCTCCATTATAAATAGTGTATCAATTGAAAGACCCCAACTGTTCGTTATACAGTAGTTCCACTGTACATATATATATATATATATATATATAACATACATTAATAGATTATTCATGTCATTGTCAGTTGTCCTTGATGACGAAAACAAATACCAAAAAATGAAAAACGGATGCAAAGGGAATAGAGGCAACTGTAGCAACAGTCCGTCCGCCATACCGGTCGGCTGAAAACATTTTTTTGCAAATCCCTTTTGCCCGGATAAACATATGGCTTATTATGAAACCACGACCGGAAAGAAAATGAATGGGCCGAAATCTGCCAATTAATTGATGGTGTGTATTTCCATGCCACACACACTCAAATAAACACTCACACAATACAATAAAAAAGCAGCACACTAACAACAATTACACTTGGGTCTAGAATGATGTCTGCCACGTTTCAAGAAAATCGGTCCAGATTTAGATATAGCTCCCATATATAGTTTCGTCCGATTTCATGTAAGTGGTGCCCCAAAGTCCCTATATATCTTTTGATTTGCACGAAATTTTTCATAACGTACTGAAGTAAGCCTAGAGTGATGTCTGCAAAGTTTCGAGAAAATCGGTCCAGATTTAGATATAGTTCCCATATATAGTTTCGTCCGATTTCATGTAAATGGTGCCCCAAAGTCCCTATATATCTTTCGATTTGCACGAAATTTGGCATAACGTACTAAATTAAGCCTAGAATGATGTCTGCCAACTTTCGAGAAAATCGGTCCAGATTTAAGTATAGCTCCCATATATAGTTTCGTCCGATTTCATGTAAATGGTGCACCAAAGTCCCTATATATCTTTCGATTTGCACGAAATTTGGTACAGCCTAGTCACTTAGGTCTAGAATGATGTCTGCCAAGTTTCGAGAAAATCGTTCCAGATTTAGATATAGCTCCCATATATATTTTCGTCCGATTTCATGTAAATGGTGCCCCAATGTCCCTATTTATCTTTCGATTTGCACGAAATTTGGTAAAGCCTAATCACTTAGGTCTAGAATGATGTCTCCCAAGTTTCGAGAAAATCGGTCCAGATTTAGATATAGCTCCCATATATAGTTTCGTCCGATTTCATGTAAATGGTGCCCCAAAATCCCTATATATCTTTTGATTTGCACGAAATTTGGCATAACGTACTGAATTAAAGAGTGATGTCTGCCAATTCGAGAAAAGCCAGATTTAGATATAGTTCCCATATATAGTTTCGTCCGATTTCATGTAAATGGTCTAAAGTCCCTATATATCCGATTTGCACGAAATTTGGCATAACGTACTGAATTAAGCCTAGAGTGATGTCTGCCAAGTTTCGGGAAAATCCGTCCAGATTTAGATATAGTTCCCATATATAGTTTCGTCCGATCATGTAAATGGTGCCCCAAAGTCCCTATATATCTTTTGATTTGCACGAAATTTGGCATAACGTACTGAATTAAGCCTAGAGTGATGTCTGCCAAGTTTCGAGAAAATCGGTCCAGATTTAGATATAGTTCCCATATATAGTTTCGTCCGATTTCATGTAAATGGTGCCCCAAAGTCTCTATATATCTTTTGATTTGCACGAAATTTGGCATAACGTACTGAATTAAGCCTAGAGTGATGTCTGCCAAGCTTCGAGAAAATCGGTCCAGATTTAGATATAGTTCCCATATATAGTTTCGTCCAATTTCATGTAAATGGTGCCCCAAAGTCCCTATATATCTTTCGATTTGCACGAAATTTGGCATAACGTACTGAATTAAGCCTAGAGTGATGTCTGCCAAGTTTCGGGAAAATCCGTCCAGATTTAGATATAGCTCCCATATATAGTTTCGTCCGATTTCATGTAAATGGTGCCCCAAAGTCCCTATATATCTTTCGATTTGCACGAAATTTGGCATAACGTACTGAATTGAGCCTAGAATGATGTCTGCCAAGTTTCGTGAAAATCGGTCCAGATTTAGATAGATATAGCCCTTTTTATTATAGATTGATTTTAAGTAATTGACGCACCATATTAAACTCCTCATGTTAGTCAGATTGACATCAAAGTTTGCACATCGTACAAAATTGAGCATAAAATTATATAGTTGCGTTTTCTAGAAGCACAGACATAGCCCAACGGATGACCTATTTATATTTGTTTGAAGTCTATTTACATACTTTATGGATAGATCTAGGTAGATTCACATTTAGATAAATATCACATATTTTATTTCATCCTATTTCATGCTAAAAGTCCTGTTTAATATACCCATAGTGGTGAAGGGTATCATATAGTCGGCCCCGTCCGACTTTACTACTTTTTTTACTGGTTTTTTATAAAAATACCCATCTTTGACAATTTTTTATTTTTTTTATTTTTGACGAATACCCATATTTGACGATTTAAGGTAAATGGTGCACCGAAGTGGCTACATATCATTCGATATAGCTCCAATATATATTCGTCCGATTTTATGTAAATGGTGCACGAAAGTCCCTATATATATATATCCTTCGATTTGCACGAAATTTCGCATAGCGTACTAAATAAATTGTGTAGAAAGACGTGTGTTGAATTTCGTGAAAATCGTTTCAGATTTAGATATAGCTCCCATATATATATTCGTCCGATTTTAGGTAAATAGAGCACCAAAATCTCTTTATATCTTTTGATTCGCACGAAATTTAGCATGTCGTACTGAATTAAGTGTAGAAAGACGTGC